AAACCGATGCCATGTCATCGTGCCACAAGGAGCACTCGTATACGGGGCTCTAATGCAACTCTTTGTAACTGACTTTCTGAACTGGTTGGAAACAAATAATCAAATTATCTGTTTTATTTGAATTTTCTTATTGCACATCGAAATAATAAGCAAATAGTTTAGTTTCGAACAGAAATGTTATATTTCACGATTTGTACCAGTCAAGTGATCGAGTAGCCAATCAGCGATATCGTTACAGTTGTTAATTTAACAGCCATGGTTTTATTGGCTACAATTTCCCCGCTGTACGTTTTAAAGCAGCTCGCCCGAATGTGCCGTTGTTGAACAGGGAAAGTTATTTTAGGCAGTGACACTAAAGCAAATGTGGTCCTGGTTTTTGGGTGATCAGTGTCAAGAGATAGTGGAAAGTAGAGATTAATTTGTCGGCGGGGATTATGTTGACCTTGCCTAAATTTAAGTGCACAATCACACTCCCTCCCTCCCTCAACACCGATGTGGAAGCACTGTGGTACTGGTAAGTAACACCACGGGACATCGATGAGTTGTTTCGGGCCACTCCCTCAAAATATCCCTCTGTCTTGTAGGATCAAGAATTTATACACGGTCAACAAAGAACAAACATGTTTCAACTTGTTGATTGAAATAGAGACATGCTCTATTCCTTTCAACAAATTGCAGGTTGAGTTGATGCTACTCTCTCAACCTGCAACATTGCATGATATACGGGTCAACATTTGTTGTCAACTTGAACAAATTCCATGATTTAAAAAAACGATTACAAATTGTTTTTTTTTATTGCAAAGCATGAATGTTCGTGATCTATGCGCCGCATATGTCAACAATTCCACGGTTTGCATCACTTCATAATGTAGGCAATATTTTTGATTGTATTTCTGTTTTAGTAGCAATTCGTGCATATCTGAAAATGTCATCCCAGAATACAACTTTAAATAAATATTTGTTTCACTTTTTAATGTTTATGCAATTTGCACACAAATAAGGGTTTTCTATCACATAAACCATGGAAGTTACAGATCCGTTAGTACCTTCCATGCATAAACCAATCCTCGATGGAATTATGTAAAAGACCACTGCCATGGTAACGTTCATGGATGAAGGAATCGTAAACGTGACATCAAATAAATTGGATGAAAAATAATACCGTATTAGTATTCACGTCAGATAATACGAAAACGAATAAATAAATAAATAAATAAATAAATAAATAAATAAATAAATAAATAAATAAATAAATAAATAAATAAATAAATAAATAAATAAATAAATAAAGCAAACCAAATATAAACGGTGTGATGTCCTCGTGAGTTATATTGATAACGTTGCTGTATTTTGCACTCTCTGCAATGTAATTGTGTTTACCTGTATTTTTTTTCAGAATTTAGCTTTAATTTGTTGCTGTATATCCAATCCAATCAAATTAATGTCCCACAAACAATTGGTTCATGTACGTTTCGCAAAATCACTTTCTTAGAGTATATTTAATTCTCGTATTAAAGCCAGGTCAATGTTTATGCTCTTATAAATATATTCCGTGTATAGTTATTTTAATCGCTAAACTACTAATACATATTTTAAATATCGAATTGATGAAATTATCGGATTATGATAATATATAAATATATAATCACATGTGCAGTTAAATATGCAAATAAGCTGAATAGACTCGTGTGGCACCATATGTAACATGTCAGACGAATCAATATAATGAATATGAGTGTTGTTCATTTCCTATGTGTGTTGTTATGTACATGTTTATCCAATGTATTAGCAACACACCGACCACATATTATTTTTATATTAGCTGACGACTTGGGATATTTTGATGTTGGATATCGCAACAGATCTGTTATCAAAACACCGAACATCGACAAGTTAGCTGCGGAAGGAGTGAAATTAGAACGACACTATGCCCAACCCTCGTGCTTGCCATCAAGAGCCTGTCTGATGATGGGTAGATACCAGGTAATAATTTATAGTTATTTATTCTTGATCTAACCAGAATCAGGAATTAGGAAATTTAAGCGTATATATAATTGTAAAACTCGAATATTGCTTGAGACATGTGATGCGTGGATACCCTAGTGGTAATATTGTACTAATACCAGATAACCTGTGCGTCTTACCTAGATACACACGGGTTACAGAGATGAATGTATGAACGACACACGATATCAACGTTGTATGAACCACGACATTGTAACACTGCCAATGAAAATGAAACAGAATGGATATGTCACTCATATGATTGGCAAATGGCATTTAGGAAATAATAACTGGGACTGCCTACCAAATGCTAAGGGATTTGATACGTACTTTGGTATGTATTGATTTCATTCAAAGGTTTCTATGTGGAAAAAAACCCACATGGCACGTACGCTAATCCAGCATATAAATCTATGATTCTGTATAATCTGCACATTTATGCTGGCTTGTTTGTCATTTCTTTTGTTTTGGTTTGACAGTGTATGTTTGCCATTCTGGTTGACAAAGAAGTTGCTGTTTCGTTTTATCCTTTGCTCATATTACAATGCAGTTTATGTTATAATAGAAAAGTTTTTTGTTTATTGTTTTGTAAAATTACAAAGCAGTGACATCACACTAATTCGTTTTTTTCATGTAAGAGTACAGTAATTTAGAGAAGGTTTCAATTCATATGTGAATATTGCGGGTATGTCGCGTTACATTAATAGTATTAGAGAACAACACCTGCTTAATATGCAACTATTATTGTACGAACAAAGCGTAAACAAGGAATATCGTACATCACTGGTTCGTCAGTTTACATATTTGATATTGACATACGAGTAACTGAGGTTTTTGATATATATCAACATTTCACAGAGCAAAATTCGAAATCCACAGATTTCCACGTCATTTAAGTTAAAGCGGGAGGGTCGTCACGTGCGCACGCGTGGGAATTGAGTCCAAAGCGACGATAACAACACACGCTTAAAACGCGAAGGCTCATGGGTAGACGCTTGTTTGTAAACAATGACACGCTATGGCCGTCTGACGCATGCGCAGGTGACGACTCCCCGCTTTAAGGTATTACAAGGCAGATGCGAAGCAACAGTTAAGTTGTCATTATTAATACACATTTCTACATTTACGAAACATTTCTGATTGACAACATATTTGTCAAGTTTAGAGAATATATTTTTGTCAATATTGGTATCTCAATGAAAACGATTTGTGCTCTTTTCCTGTCCGGTTCATTCTGTTATTCGTATGAACTTTCTACGAATATTGATTGAAAACGAAACGTATAAAGAAGACACATTGTTTAATTTCACATTCACATATAATAATAATGAACTTGTCATCAACAATAAATACATTATAATATAATTTAATGATATATCCAGACGAAGAGATTAAAGAGACTACATCTGTTTTCAACTTAGATGTGTGCCTTGCATTTGACTTTGATGATTTTAATTTAAAGAGATGATTTCAATTAAACCAACACCAATTGTCCACACCTCTCTCTACTATATACTAAAAGGTATATATTTCTCGTCCCATTCGCTAGGGTCTGCAGTATGTATGCAGAGTCATTGTCTTCTTTTATTTACACTATTAATCCAAGTGTGGTTGAAAGAATGATTAGTCGTAACACTCAAATGTTTTTTGGCAGATATGATAAGCTTTTTCTTAAATATGAGAACAATGTTACACAGATGAGTTCTGATGGTATTAATGTCACTTTTGTGAAGTAGACATTATTTCTCACAGAAACCATTGGATTATAACTCAGAATGATAGATGGGGATCAGAGTGCATTCGAAACACCTGACGTCACTCCATGTATAATAGGGCCCGTATACAAATAATTTACTCATTTGAATGCGTACTGTGATGTACTTTTTAGCTGTTTGTCAGTCGCGTCCTGTTCGATATGGGACTCATAGCGACGTATACAACGCGTGTAAAACACATTTGTCGAATATGTGCTGCGCGACGACCACAGCCTTTTAACAGTCGCTAGTTATAGGGGGGTTGTCACCTGTGCGTGCGACATTCGGCCATAGCGTGTTATTGTTTACAAACTACCCATGAGCCTTTGTGTTTTTAGCCTACGTTTTTATCGTCGCTTAGTACCCAATTCCCGCGCGTGCGCAGGAGACGACCCCTTCGCTTTAAGATCTGTACAGATGATCAATTTCGGAACAGTGTGAAAATACACTGTTTGTAATTGTTCTTAAACAGATATGAATTTATAAGTGATTAATTATTTAGTTGAATAATTAAAATGTTTGAGTAGGTTATAATGCTGCAGCAGAAGACTACTATACGCATATGTTGTCTGGGCGCCAAAACTGTAGTGACTTGTGGAGGGACCGTATGGACGTCGCTGACAAATATATCGGTCAGTATTCTACGCGTATATTCACCGAAGAAGCTGTGAACATTATTGAGAATCACGATATTAGCCAGGTATATGAATAAACCACAATCACTAAACAAAGTTATTTCCGGATAATATACATCATTATCGGTTGTATAATTATTTTTTTTTTTATCTCAGCCCATGTTTATGTATTTAGCGCACCAAGCTGTCCACGCCCCATTGCAAGTTCCACAGGAATATTACAGCTTGTACGAAACTACTCTGAATGATGTTAGGCGGAAGTATGCTGCCATGGTAACGTGCATGGATGAAGGGATCGGTAATGTCACTGAAGCTTTAAAAGAAAGTGGGATGTGGGATAATACCGTGCTGGTATTCGTATCAGGTGAGGTTATGAATATTTAATTACACACAGAGATTTGTGGAAAATGCACTGCCTCTGTGTTAGTTTGAGCAGGATGAACAGAAACATCGAAAACGTAATACAAAAAACTAAAGAAAATATATGAATTCTGTTGAATCGTAAATACGAGCAATTTTATCGCGGACCACGATGTGATTTGTCACTGCGTTGTGCAATGTGGAGAAGTTAAACTGGGGGGGGGGCGTTCTGTTCACGTATATCGCTGGGAAAGAAACATTGAACACTCAAATGGATTTCATCTCCGTTTACCTAGTTTTCTGGTGAATATTTCAATTATATTTCTGGCTTGAACGGATTTGATTGCCCGCGCTTAACAGCCATACAACACAAAGGAATTTGAAGGCGGACGTAATCGTCTGGTAACCTAGTTTCAGATCCACTAATGCGGACGCGCCGTCAGTACCTAATAAGTCATGTCACGCCATTTGCAAAAGTTGTTTGAATTTCATGTATATTTTTTATCGCAGACAATGGTGGAGAGCTTAGTGCTGGGGGACGAAATTGGCCTTTACGTGGCGGGAAAGGTAGCGTGTTCGAAGGCGGTATACGCACGGTTTCGTTCGTTACCAGTTCATTGATAGAACGCCCCCAACGTATAAGTAACGCCATGATTCATATTACGGATTGGTTTCCAACTTTGACCCATCTAGCTGGAGGCACGATTGATGACGAAATGGTGGATGGAATTAATATGTGGGACACCATAAGGTACTAAATGCTAAATTTAACGTCTAGAAAGTAACACATTCATAATACATCGATTTCATATTAAAGTTATTAAAGCAACTCTTCATTGAATGGCAATTCTATGATTGTGAAATGTATATGTTATTGTATTTCAAAAGATTTAATAATTTGTTTGTGCCAGTACCCACCATTGTCACTACTGTTTAAGTACGAAGTCCTATAAAATGCATTTCCAGCAGAAACCATATTCCATGTCTGGGACTGTGTGACAGGGATGTGTAACCATCTTCCTATTATACTGGCTTCAAGGCAATGTACTATCCCAGTGTCAACCAGGCCCGGCCCAACACAGGCTCTCACATTTCTCATTCGTGGCCATTCGTGATTTGTTGACATATAGTTCATCATTACGGATTATCCATATGTTGTTATTTCCATACTTTGACGTCATCGATGAAGTCATTATTGCATCCTCCATATAAAAGTGTCTTTGTTTGAATTTGTTTTAGTACGGGCAGTGTGGAACCACGAACAGAATTACTCATCAAGATATCGCCACCTGCGAGAATCACGGAGGTCGGAATGGATCCTTGGCATAAATATGATGTATTCGATGCCTGGTTGAACTCTGCTCTTTTTGTAGGAAATTGGAAACTTGTGACCAATGAAGGTTAAGAATACAGAGTAGTGAAGAGTGTTATTATAAATCCGATAAACTCACCCGTGGTGAATTCAATGTGTGAGGGTTGTGTTGAGGAAATCTAGAAATACGTTGTTCCACAGTGCTTTGCGCTACGTTCACCTTTGAACTTTGTGCAGAGCATCACGGGATATTTGGTATGAACATCAACTGAGACAATTGATTTAGTATTGACGTCGATGTGAAAATTGTAAAAGAAAAAAGGTTAATTTCGACTGAATAACAAAGGGTGGTTACACTGAACATAGAAATGTAGATAATTTATGTGGATGGCCGTAGTATTATAATATGCATAATTCAGATTGTTGGGCACTGTACGTGTTAATTTTTCTTTTTATTTCATTTATAGCATATTACGGTGGATACCCAGTGCCACCTGAACTTGTACCAAGGGTTAGAAAGGAGACAATCGCTCCACCGGAATCCAAACGTGGTAAATTGGTGTGGTTATTTCACATCGTTGAAGATAGACGAGAAAAACACGACCTTTCCAGTCAACGACCCGACGTTGTTTTCAGAATGTTGGAAAAATTGAGACAATACCAAATTCATACTCTGGGCTGCTCAACACGCTACGATCATCTGAATTGTAATGAGAGAGGTCATCGTTGGGGACCGCCGATCGGAAGTTGATATGAAAAAAATATGTCTCCTCATAAAAATGAACTATTGGCGGCGCAATGTAGAATTGTTGTTGCTCCCATTATGTTACAGGATGGTGGATGACGTCAGACAATTCTCGTGTAAATCAGACCACATCATCTTCACTGAACTTGAACGTTGTCACAAGTAAACAAATTATAACATACTCACCTATAATATCCTGGCCGTTATCCCATATATCTATCATTATGGTACATTTGACACCGAAAACAATTTTCACTTCCGTAAAACGCCAAACGAACATGTTCGAAAGTGTTACGGACGGGTTAGAATGTCTTCCGTATTTGTTAATTGTGCGTCACGTTCCATTAACATCGGCCAGAATAATAAAGAATTGCGAGATCTCGCGAGATGTATGAAAAACGCGCGTCGAACGCCTGCCGCAAAAATCGAACGATTTGATTTTGAACTAGAATTTCTTTATTTCGTAACTCACATCGACCGGCCGATCTTCGACAGAGGAATATTGCTTCCGAATACCCTTACTTAATCGAAATTGCCTATCATCAAATATGGACAGCACATTATTAAGCATGGAAATGTCCTCCAAAATACTTCGCGTTTGTCGAATCCCACGCGATGTTTGACGCCACTACGACGCTATGACCTTTGTTTGTCCTGTTTTTACGTTCGATTTCACGCATAACGCGTGATTCTCGCAATGAACGGAAAATGGTCTATTGCAACCTGCATACAATGTAAAATAATCTAAATAACGGTTAGCCGCATTACAATAAAATTTAGCATGTTTTAGAAATTACCAAACTAGTAAGGGACTGGTCATTTTCATTGGCGGGGTGGTCGTGGTGTCGGAGAATCAGATTTTGTAGGTCGGAGAAGACTTTTCCCCTCCAATCAAGCAAAAAACGCGTGTAAAATACATTGTTTATTTACATGAAATTCGAACACACGCTGCGCGACGACCACCAGGGGCGGATTTAGAGGGGGCCGAGGGGGCCACGGCCCTCCTATTTTTAACCCCCGTTGTTGTTGTTGTTGTTGTTGTTG